TTGTTAGCACCCAATCTCTAACCCATTGATACAGTCCCCTACAAAAATCAATATTAAGTAATTATTAAGTTTTAGGCGGGAAATTATCGATAAAAAATATATTTACTCGGTACAACTGAAAAGCTTGTAACTGACTCCAAGTACATAATCTTTATCTGTTACGTCGCAAACTTTTAAGAAATCTTCTTTACTGCGATATGTATGCAGTGTCTGAAGAGTTTTCCATTTTGAACTAAACCGTTTGTCTGAAAAGAAAGGTATAGGTGTTTGGACATCTAGGGGCTCCTCTTGCATTGGCAGGACCAGCCTGAAAAGAAAACATGAAGTTTAGTTTTTTTTCAATAGGTTACTGGTCTTAGGCATAATGGAGTACATGAATAAATACAAAAATTAAAAACCCCCCGATTCAAAACAGCGTACTCCAAAAAGTATACAAAATAAAATAAGTAATTTAAGCACGTGTGTTATGAAAAAACGGAAGCATTGTACCGTCGTCAAACACCCAGACCCGGGATCCTTGGTTATACAGGAAGGGCACTATCACCTGTTGTCAGGTTTGAATACAAAGGAATGTTGTAAATGCACAAATGATCTACCCACCTAAAAAAACGCACTGATTTAATGGTAGGACATTCCCCGTTTTGACAGGACCTGTTGCGTCTACGCCGCGCTAGCGAACGCTCGCTTTGACGCGATATCACCGTAGCCTATCATCGTAGTAGTCTATCATCAGTCTGTGAGAGACCAGAATGGGCAGCGCCACAACCCCCTAACACCTGGGCAGACGTATAAAGGCCGGCAAACAATGCAACTATCGAAGGAACAACCCAAGGTCAGTCAATGCATTCACCTACCCCATTTTGGCCCCGTCACCTGTGCAAGCAAGCCCGCAGGGAGACCTTCTCAGTCAGATCCTGATCAGCCCGTTTGCACGGCTTCATACGGTTCTCAAAAGGCTTTTGCCTTGGGTGAGCTGCCCGGGCGCACGTACAGAATATTTTCCAGATACCATATAGGTACCGGAGCTATAGGCACGCTCACTTCCCGTTGCGCGCAGCACAATTACGGTTGCTACCGCTAAGCCATCAACTCCATAGCCAGACCAGAGAGAATATAGAAAAGTTAGGTTTTCTACATTGACCCGGCCGGGGATCGAATGCGTAACCTCAAAGATGGTTATACCATGAAAACCGGTGTCCAAGCCACTCGACCACAGAGGTCATCAAAAATCACCATCTGTAAGTCGTACAATCCTAAGCACGATAGTTTTATGCCTCAGTGGCCCAACGGTTACTATGCTGGACTGCCACGCAGAGGTCCCGAGTTCGATTCCCGGGCCGATAGAAATATTTACATGCCCTACATCTATTTCTCTCGTGAGTTTAGGTGTAATTTGTGGTTGTCAATGTGTGTGTCCATGGCACCCGCGACACTAGTGCGGGACTATGAGTATTATTATTACCGATTTAGTAACAAATTAAAGTGTTAGGTAATCTGAAGACTGTCCTGGTAGCAGATCAGATCGAGGTTACTGTATTATGGTAATATAGTAGTAGTAATGGATTTCCATAGTGTAACAAATTTCAAGTCGATTTGACAAGTGGAAGTAACAGTCAAGAGCACATCAAAAAGCACGTCTGACTCTATGCCGTTTACGATAAGAACAGTCCAAAGTACAAAGTGTCAAGCTTGACGTGCTCTTGACAGTAGATTGTGTATAAGAGAGGTAAATAAGAACTTACTATTAACGAGAGTTTGTTAGAATTTAATTTTTACCACCCGTGCTACATACAAGATTTTTCATCACGTTTGCGAGGAAATAGATACAAAGATAATTTATTTCTTGTATGAATAAATATCGCTTCACAACACAACACTTACGGCTTTTACAAATGGCGGGAGTTTTTTAAACAGATTGCCAGTTATTCTTCCATAGATAATAGAACCTGAACTAAAATATTATAAAGACCCAGACGCATGCAGCCATAATATATTAGACATAAAATAAATCATTTC